ATTTTGTTGAAGTATCTCTTAAAGAAAGAAAAACAGCTTACATTCCATACCATCTACTGGGAATAAGGTTATTGTTAAATAAAGTTGTAATTGTTTGCAATTAAATGGCCTCCACTTGATTATAGTCGTGTTCTCGTGGCTACCATATATATCTTCCATCAATAACTGTCTACGTTTATGTAACCAGATCATATTATAATGGGAAAAGGGGTATGTGCAGCATAACTCCCTGGGCATATTAATCTTGGTTCTGACAGTAATATACTGCCGTGGTGGCTTATGTTGGTCAGAGTTAAATAGATCTGCTGGTCCAGTCGAGAATATCTTTATGACCTATTTTCAGTGAAATTATTGTCACTAATCACACTTTTCTGGCACTTGGAAAAGACCATGATGTTATTTTGTAATCTGAGAAGAAGGGCACATGATTTTCAAAAGCATACTTAGCTAAACTTTATTTCTCTTTTTATTAATATTTTAACTCTATCTGTAAATCGTGCTTGGAAGCTTTAAATTTTTAAAATAACTTCCTAGCATTGCAGTTTTTTTTAATATGTTTAATGATTTATACTGTTACCCTGTATGGCTTGGCCTTTGAGAGCTATAGACCTAGCAGTGCAACTTACACATCCATCATTTTAACTCACATGGCTGCTTTCATTGATTATAATGAGACTATAGTGAGTACGAAATTTGATTGTAGGTTCGACCTCAAGATTAGATCCATTCTTTTATCAACTCTTGTTTCTTCAGATAATCTTTTCAATTTTTTTTTTTCATTTTCACAACTGATATATCGAAGAAATAATTAAATTTAGAGTCCTAATAACAAAACACATAAAAGTAGACCAGTTAAAATGTAATTCATTTCCTCACATAAAGAATGACCTTTATAATTGCGTTTAGACTCTGGCTCTAGTGAGTTGATTCTCCAGCAAAAAAAAGTTCTCTTCCACTATTACAATACATTATGCTGTACATAATCCTTTTCAGGCTTAGATTTTGAAAGTAAGGGGAGTATAATTATTTAGTCTTAATAGAATAACAGAGTTGGAAGGGACCTTGGAGGTCTTCCAACCCAACCCCAATGTTGTGGTTAGCTGGCAGCAGATGCAGACGGCTGAGGAGAGTGAGGATTCAGATGAGGAGCCAGGACCATTAGGGAGTGGACTGCTGCCTTCAGAGATTGTGGGGGCTGGCAGCAGTGATGAGGAGGTTCCCGAGGACCCTGTGCCAAGTGCACAAGCGCGCAGAATTGCTCGTAGGAAAGAGCAGCTACAATAGCACAGGCGATTCGGGAGTAAGGCTGCAAGGTAATGGCCCCTCCTTCAAGAAGATAAAAACCAGCTGTGAAAAGAACATACTTTGCAGAAGGCAAAGACGTTTTGAAACTCCAGCCTCGTGGACATTCCAGTATCCTGAGTTTGTATTTGAAGATTCTTATTTTGCAAATTATTTCTTGTCTGTTATCTTTTGGCAAGTCTCGCACAGTTTGGCAAGGCTTGTGCTTATCGCAGCTAATTATTTTGCAAAAGCATTACAAGGTTTCTGTTCCCTTTGGATTGTGTTTGATTTGTTGGAAAAGGGCGTGGGTCAGAACACCATGTGACCCCCTGGTCCTTCTTCATTAGACTAGAGATAGTAACCAAATCTGTCTGTGCTCATATTGCATTTGCATTGGAAATGATACCTTTGGAATTATCAGTCATAACTGATATTAGCTTCTTTCATTACAAGATTTACTGCACACAAATTATATAACAGTGAGGAGAAGAATGGTATCAGATTTGAACATGTTTCCTTATATAGTAATGATGCCCTGCATTGTGCTGGCATGGCAATCTTTCCTAAAGTGTTGTGCCAATTCAGCAAGATAAGTCAACAACACTTATTCATTTAACATTGACCCAGTGTACAGCTACTGTGAAAAAAAGAAATGTCCACATTTTGGTGAATCAGTAGGAGAGGAATCAGATTGTCAATAGCACAATACCTTTGTACAATGCTCAGATGCAGCTCCCTCAAAACAGCGCGTATGATTGTGGTCATCAGGATAACTTGAAAAGATGCAGAAAAGGACATTACATTATCCAATAGCTGGAGCAGAGGCATTTACAGGATCAATGGCTTTCATCAAAAAGATAGAATTATTGATTGCTTCATCATAATGGAAACCCTCCTTTGTTTGCACATGTATAGGATGGTACAACATAAGTACAAAATGTGAAAAACATGGATTGTATTGGTGTGATTTTTTTCTTTATCATTTACTCTGCAGACCTGTAGGAATTTTCCTATGGGAAATGTGTTTGAGTGCTTTTTTTGTGTATGATAATCATTGTACAGTATATGAATGATATGAAGAAAATGGATACTAGAGTTTTTCTCCCCTCTTAACAATCCTAAAACTCAGCACTCAGTGGAATTAAATGAAGGGAAAACCAGGACGCACAAGATAAAGTATTTTACACTGGATTTAACTAATCTGAGGAATTCAGTGTCATAAAATGGAATGATGCCCATTCATTTGGGTCTCTACAAAGGTGATTAAAATTGATTCATGGAATGCGATTATCAGTGGTTACTAGCATCGATAGCTAGTTTTTACTTCCTGTATCTGAAGCAAAATGGCTTGTATGCTCAATGAGCTAAGGTGTAAACTATGATTCAAGAGCCATAGCAACTGACTCCATGCATTGTTTTAACCCAAACTCAAGCAGGTAGAATAATGCGGAGTGTGAACCCAGCCTATGCCTCTCCGCATTCATGTTTCACAATGGGAGCATGAGTGGCAAAACAAACTATTGCACTCATCATGGCTATCAGGTGGGCCAGTATGGGAACTAGGTGGGCCATGTGGATTTTTGATCTGATCAAGCCATGGGCTCTTTTGATGTTCTTATTATACATTTTAGATGTATTTTTCATCAAGGAGAAAAGGATGGAAACAAGTTGATTTTGTTAGTTTTAAACTAACTCCGTTTGGTAGGTTCAGTAATACAGGTAATCCTTGACTTATGACCACAATTGAGCCCAACATTTCTGCTGCTAACTGAGATGGTTAAGTGCTCCATTTTATGACCTTTCTTGTCACAGTTGTTAAGTGAATCCCTGCAGCTGTTGACTTAGCAACGCAGTTGTTAAGTGAATTTGACTTTGCTTGTCAGAAAATCTCAAGGGGATCAGATGACACAGCAACTGTCATAAACATGAGCCAGTAGTCAAACATTTGAATTGTGATCAACCACCAGGTGGAGTCTGCAATTGTCGTAAGTTTGAAAAACGATCACAATTTGCTTTTTCAGTGCCGTTATAACTTCGAGCAGTCATTAAATGAATGGTTGTAGGTCGAGGATTACCTGTAGTGTGTTAAATGAATAAGAAAGTATGAAAAACTGAGAACAATTACCTTATAGGGCAAACTGAAGCTTCTGCTGGATATTTAAAAAGTTCCTTTCTGTCATGTTCACATCCCCGCTGAACTCCAGCTAGGGATGAGATTTATTCATACATATCCGAAGTGCACCTGTGCAGAGAAAGATGATTTAGGGGATGCTCTGTGATCAGACTCCCTTTTATTGTTGTTTTTACTGGACACCTTACCAGCTGAAAAGCATCCTGTTCAATGATTCACTGATGTGAAACCAATTAGTTATAGCCCAGTTTGGCCAATAAGCTTCCTTTTTAAATCATCAATTCCCTCAACACTATCCAACTATTTACTAAGTCTGCATTACTATTCCTACTAATCTTCTCATCATTCCTATCACCCATCTCCTCCCACTTGTGACTGTATGACTGTAACTTTGTCGCTTGTATCCTTACAATTTATATTGACTGTTTCCTAGTATGATTTGATTGCTTATTTGTACCCTATGACTATCATTAAGTGTTGTACCTTATTATTCTTGACGAATGTATCTTTTCTTTTTATGTACACTGACAGCATATGCGCCAAAGACAAATTCCTTGTGTGTCCAATCACACTTGGCCAATATAGAATTCATTCGTTCAAAATAATAAGATATCAGCAGAACAAAGGCATTTGCAAGATTACTATTTAGCAATGCCTCAACAGTGCACTTCTGAACTTTTGTGCACAGATGAGTTAATTCTAGTAGATATAGTGAAAACCAAGGGTGTTTGCTTTACTCCATACGGAGGGCATTGGAATTATGAACAACTCTTTCGCTCTTTGGTAAATGCACAGATAGTCCTTGATTTACCACCACAACTGAGTCCAAAATTGCCAGTGCTAAGCCATTCAAGGAATTGAGTGAATTTTGTGCCATTTTATTACCCTTTTGCCACAATTGTTAAGTAAATCATTGCAGTGGTTAATTGAATCCTGCAGCCATTAAATTAATTTAGCTTCCCCCCCCCCCCCCCCCCCGTTTTCTTTGTTTATTGCAAGCAGGATGGGATGAGTACAATATGTGTCAGTTGCCAAGGGCCCAATTTTTGATTATGTAACCATGGGGATGCTGCAACGGTTAAGTGTGAAAAATGGTCACAAGTCACTTTTTTCAGTGCTGTTGTAATCTGAAACAGCCACTAAACGAATTATTGTAAGTCAAGGACTACCTATTAAGCTCCTTCAGGAGCTTAAGGGATATAGCCAACATTCCTACCTCCCATTTTCCTTTCAGCAGCAACTCTGAGAGGTAGGTTGGCTAAGAGAAAATGACCTAAATCATCTGAGGTGATCTCAGTTTAACCACTAGCTTATCCTAACTTCCACTTATCAAACTTAACTGCTGATACATCTCAGTCCTTCCTCCAACACTCATTTATCACACAGGTGTTAAATTCATGGTATCACATTTCCATCACATTAGTTTTTGCAACATTTTTCTCTTCACGGAGCTGGGGTGGGCGTGGCCTGCATCCAGCCTGTGGGCTGTCAGTTTGACACCCCTGGTTTACCTGATTTCTAACGACAGCTTAAAAATGATTGCATTTGTTGACGCTACCAATATAATTTTTTTTTCTATTTTCAGACAGCAGGATTTCAGGAGATTCTGACAGAAATAGAAATTTTAGCTTTGATTGTTGGATGTTTATGCCATGACCTTGATCACAGAGGAACAAACAATGCCTTTCAAGCTAAGTATGTTTCCACTATTATTTGTTTGTCTTGTTTTGAAAATTAATATTTTAGAAGTTAGAGATAAGTGTTGGTTTCAAGATATGTGTAATATAATTGCATTTCTTTCTCTACATTTCTTAAAAAGAAAACTTAATTCCTTCCAAATTATTTTTTTATCATGACCTAATCTGCTACAAATGAATATCCATCTAATGTAACATTAAATTAGGCAAAACTTTAGTTGAAAGTGGAACAGGATAGAAGACAGAATTGAAAGCATAAAATGTGGGCCATTATTCTATGAAATGGTAGCAAGTATGAAGGAAATAGCAAGCATCTGCGTTCAAAACAGAAACTTTTTACATAAATGGTGCCTTGTTTTGTGAAGACAGGTAGAGTCCCACACAATTCAAGCTATTTCGTGATTTGTGCATGACACACTTGCAAGAGTTCCTGGGTTTTTATAACATGTTAAACTCTTAACTGGTTGATGAGTTGGATTATAATTACTCACACACTACTCAGCTTCATAATAGGCAATCTCTCACAACTACCTGCATAGAGTCTAGTGCAGGGGTCTCCAACCTTGGCAACTTTAAGCCTGGTGGACTTCAACTCCCAGAAAGCAAAGCTGGCTGGGGAATTCTGGGAGTTGAAGTCCGCTAGGCTTAAAGTTGCCAAGGTTGGAGACGCCTGGTCTAGTGGTCATAGTGCACTTCATAGGAGGACTTCTTATAGGAGAATTGGCTTATAATACAGCAAAATGGATTTGGTAGGGGGCTCTGCAAAGTTCCGCTAAATGGTTATTGCCCACATGAAAGTAAGAGCTTATACCTAAAGTAATTTTGTACCTTGATTCTACTCAGATTCTACACATACAGTTCCTTCACAATAGTCTATGTCAGGCAGGGGTCAGCAATCTTAAATACCCAAAGAGCCACAAAGGTCCTGACCGGAAGCCTCCCATTCAATTCTGGAGCCAACTGGAAGTCCGGTTTCCCCACCGTAGTCTCGTCCTAGCACGGCATCCTTTTTCCTCTACCTGTCCTAACTGAAAGTCCTATCAACTGTGGAGCCGACCGGTGACAGGGAGCCACAGCAGAGGGATGAAAGAGCCACATGTGGCTCCAGAGCCATGGGTTGCTGACCCCTGGTCTATGTCAAATGACCATTTACTTTCCACTTTTCTGGATTAGTGTGTCCCCTTAATCCAGGAGTGTCAAATTTGTGGTGTCATGGCGGCGTCACGTGATATATCAGGACTTTTTCCCCCTTCGCTAAATCAGGTGGGGGGGGCAGCATGTGATGCATCCGGGCCGCAAGTTTGACACCTCTGCTTTAATCAGTGAACTTAATGGTCTGGGCCCCAAAGCTGCTTTTTCAGGAGGCAACTGGACTTCCTTGTTTTTTCTTTGAAGACATTTCGCTTCTCACCAAAAAAGCTTCTTCAGCTCTGACTGGGTGGTGGAGAATGGAAAGATTTATAACCCTTACAGACAGCTGGTCATTTGCACTCTTTTAGAGGCCACTTGGAGGTTTATCTGTGTCTTCAGGGTACCAGATGGGTGTTGAGCCTTCTTGACTGCAGGATGTTGTCTGCCCTGTGTCCCTTCACTGTTGTAGATAGGCACAGGCTGTTGGGAATGAGTCTGTGTTGTCTGCATCTCAAACTGAGGTGCAAATGGTTCCTGTGGTTGGCAATTTTTCTGGAAATCCATTCATACTCCCGCACTATTCGAAGGGTGTTCATCCCTGAGAATCTCCATAGACATTTAATGGTCTGGGATTTTGTTCCAAAGGACCAAAGTCTTTACAGAGAGAGTGTAGGATTGAGATCAGATTGTGTAGTGTCATCATCTTCTTCGGCAGTCTCAGATTATACACGGAATATATTTCAATTTTACAACTGTGAGAGACTTCATCTGAGATAAAGGATACTTCTGCTTCTGGGATTAGGCTTTGGACAGGTAATAACATTCTTCACCAGTTGGGAAAGAAAAACAAAGTAGTTTGATTTAGTATAAACGTAAAACACACAAATAGATGGATGTACATTGTAAAATGTACTTTGCAACAGGATGTGTGCGTTGCTTTTGGGAGGCTGAATTTCCTTCATAGGAGATTCTTAATTTTATCTCCTTTGTTTACACCTCTGTTATAAGCAAGTATTCTGTTTATGCTTAAGTTATTTTATTCCTAGAGTAGTGTTGTGCCGACACATGTGTTGGGTTTCCTGATATAGATATTGTTTATTGTTTTGGGTGGAACTGAAGGACATGTTCATTGCATGGTAACTGATCCCATTCAGGCAATTAAGATATCAGAAAAACAAAATGGGAGCGATACTTTCTTAGACATACTTTCTCTGAATTTTTTCAGCCAAAGGTCACTAAATGAAGTGTTGTAACTCGAGGACTACCTGTACAGCACCCTAAATGAGAAATTATGTTTCCAGTTTGAGACTATTTCTGCTAATATAATTCTCTGTATTAAGTATTCAGTATCAGGAGTTGCATTATTATTAGTTGCATGCAGAAAACTGATACACACACACACACACACACACTTACTTCCTTGGCCCACCTAGTTGCTAGGCAATAGACTTCAGAAAAACCAATTAGGTCTTTACTCTTAGCACAGTACAAGGCATTAAGGAAATATGAATCTTTAATACAATTCTGTATTATAACAGCTCCAGATAATTGCAAAATAAATATATATATAAATACTTACTATTCAGGACTTGGTGTGAAATGGGGAAACTTGGCTATATCTTCATTTTGGGAAGCATTTTAGTTACCCAGTATAGCATGATGGCATGTGTTATAGTTTGGCTTAATCCTGTACATATGAGGGATTATACTCATGTTTCACTGCTCTGTATATCAGCTTAAGTAGAGCAAAGGTGATTGATGTCTATGATGCTGGAATAGCAACAATGATAGCCTTCCATTGGATAAACAAACCATCAGGTAATGGGTTGACTTGGGTGCTAGAACAAGTGAGTTTGTTACTGCATCTGACAGTGCACCATTATATTTCCCATATGTATTCCAATATTTGTGAGGCTGTCACAAAAAAGAAGGGGATAACCAATTCTTCAAAGCACCTGAGAGAAGGACAAGAAGTAATGAATGGAAACTTATCAAAGAGAGATCCTACCTAGAATAAGGAGAAATTTTCTGACAGTTAAAACAATTAATCAGCGGAATGGCTTGCCTTTAAAATTGTGGGTGTTTCATCACTGGAGGTTTTTAAGAAGAGATTGGGTGGAATTCTACCAGTTCGGACCGGTTCGGTAGAACCAATTGTTTTGATTCTCCGTAGTTCAAAGAACTGGTAAATTGGGCCTCTGGCTGGCCCGGCCCCTCTCCACCCGCTTCTCTACTACCTGCCCAGTCAGTCCTTATTGCACATGCACGACATCGCACGCATGCATGACACTGCTGCCTGCAGCCTGCTTTTGTGCACCTGCCAGGCCAGCCATTGCTGCCTGCCTTCCGCTGCGGCCCTGCCTGAACTGATCTCCCTGGATGAGTGAGGCTCTGCAAACCCCGGTTGCTTATCTACCACCACTGGTCGCCTTCCCCCCCTTACCTTTTGCAGGGGAACATGTGGAGAGGTTCGTGTAGGCTCCAGCCAGGTTAGCGGCTGCTTCTCTCACCTGCAGTTTCCGATGGGAGGGGGGCTTGCAAGCATTTCACTGTGCCAGGAAAGAAAAAACTCTTGCTATCCCATCAAGAGCAGCAGGAAGGATCATTGGAGAGGCTCGTGTCAGCAAGTCACCCCTTGATCGAGTCTGGGACAGCTGACAGCAGCTGCGGGGAGCAGAGCTTGGAAGCCCCGATGCACCACGTGTGCGGCCACATGGATGTCCACAGGGAGCTGGTCCTGGAAGTCCCGATGCCATCGGAATCACCATTGCCTTCCTTGCTGCCATCGCCATTGCGGCCTCACTGCCGCTGCATCCCCCAAACCCCGCAGGTATGGTGAACATGAGCCCCAGGACGGGTGACTGCTGCTCCCACCGACTTTTCTCCGCATCAAGAGTGGAGTCGAGAGAGAGAATGAGTAGCCCTCTTGGCATGGAGAAAAGTCACGCATCTCCCCATGTTCCTCTCTCAGCGAGCAGCCTCTCGCAGCACCTTTAAACTTAGCGCACTTCACAAATGAGGAGGAGGGGACGGGGCTGCTCGCGGAGAAAGGAATATGGGGAGACGCGCAACTTTTATCTGCACTGAGCTGCTCTCACCAGTGTCTCCAGACTGTTTTTCCCAGCTAAGACTAGATTATCAAGGAAGAAAAAATAATATGCAGCAGATGCCTAGCAAAATTTAGTAATACTGCAGATTGGCTGTTTACATTGAAATCAGGTGCAAGATAGTATTAGTAGGTAAATTATTGGGCAGTTTAGCTTGGTATTTATTTCAGTAGGCTAATTTTAGAAAGCTAAACAGGATCAGGCCTCATAAGTACTTGGCTAGGAAGCCAACACAAAATAGGGTGTGGGGAGGAATGAGATTGGGAAAGAAAGAAGAAAGATAGGATAAGATAACTTTTATTGTCATTTTTTTACTATAAGTACACTGGCACACATTAATAGTGAAATATATATACATATCCATACACATACATAACACACATATACACATGGTACACACACACACACACACACACACACAATCATTGGCCATTTTGAATACATAGCGGAAAGGAAGAAAGAGTATTGGATACATATACACAAATGTGTGTGAAAAAAATGCAGAGAAATAGGATTATTAAAAACAGCTTCCAATCTTAGCATTTATAGATGAGAGAGATGAGAAACAGAGAGAAGGAGAAAGAGAGATGAGAAAGAGAAAGAGAGAGTTGAGAGAGAGGGAGGAAGAAAGAGACACACACAGAGAGATACCTGTTTAAAAGAAAATAGAAAAATGGCTCTTTGAGTGTTTAAGGTTGCAGGCCCCTGGGTTAGGCCAACACCATGGTGATTAAATGAACCTTGTGGTCATTAAGCAAACACTGGTTGTTGAACAAGTCCATTTTCCCCAATGGGCATTTTTAACCAGAAACCAGAAAGAATTGTTGGAAACTGGCAAAAAACATAGAAAACCTCAGTCACAAGAATGTGTGGGATGTTGTAACTGCTGATAAGTGTGTGTGTGTGTGTGTGTGTGTGTGTCACTGTCAAAACACCAAAAACAGGTCAAGTAGCTCTGGAGAGGTCAGTCATAAATTAGAACACTTGCTAAGCAACTAGCCATTAAGTGAGGATCACTTATATTTGGTTTGCCGGTCACATGTCCAGCTAGCCATGCCCACCCCATTACATGGCCACCTTGCCATGCCCAGCCAATCACATGACCACCCAGCCACACCCAGTCAGCAAGCCACACTCACCCAGTCACATGACCAGCAAGCCACACTCACAAATTAGGCCACGCCCACAGAACTGGTTGTTAGGAAATTTGAATTTCACCCCTGTGGACAGCCACTAGTCTGGAATTATATAGGGTTTCCTGCTTGGCAGGGGGTTGGAATTTGAAGAGCTATTGATTAAAAAAAGAAATCCGATGCAAGAGGAAGCAGAAAAAATAGTTTACTTTGAAGCCTAAGACTCTCTTACTGCCTTCTTTTTATGTGTTTCTCGTCTGTGGGACTGTTACTGTGTTTTTTGCAGTAACTAAATCTGATTAATGGTGAAAGAGTTTCCAAGGTAGTATAAAGCCTAAGGCTTTTGAGGACCGTTAATGGTTTCAGTGGCTAATTAAAAAGAGGAAATATAATGTTAGTATGCAAACTTGTTTTGAAGAATGTGTGTTTGGCCTGCAGTTCAAACTGAACTGGGATAACGACTGGATCAAACAATCATCATTTCAGTTGCATGGAGCTCTGAAATAAGTTATAGGCTAAAAATTAGCATTCAAAACAAATGTATTATAAAAATGTTTATAGCTGTCCAGTTGCCTCTTGAAAAAGTACCTTTGGGATAACCATGACCTGAATGACTGAGAATCTCCATAGACACTAACAAGAACGATATACAAAATGAAGATTTTATGGAAATTAGAAGAAATAAACTTTTGGGTGTTGAATGTAAAATAGATTACATTCGAACACATTTCCTATTCCATCCCTGTTTTGAAAGACTAATATTTCATTTATGAGGTGGGCTAGGTTTACTCAAGATCAGTTCTGGCAGTGAGTAGAAGATGGGAGAACTACCGGTATAGCTGGTAGGCTGCTCTCATTAACTCAATAGTAAAATGCAAGTTTTTATGAGGCTTAGCAGTGGATGTCTCCTGAGAAGCCTTTATGTTCCTGTTTGAATTTATACCATTTGAGATTTTTCTGGCAGTGGATGCTTTTGTACAATCTTGAACAATAGTGCTTGTGTCGGATAAATAAATTTTAAAATTGGATGAACTCTTGCAGAAATAGCAAAATCTAGCACATGAGACATTGACAAGAAAGTCAAAATGTCCATGTACAGCAAGATTTTAGGTTCAAATCTGAAACCAGACGCACAGCAAAATTACATGAGATTTGAGACTTTGCAAGATTCAAACATGTTTCAAACCACGGTGTTTTATAAAATGGAAATCAAAATGCAACCCATTTAATCTAAATATTATTTTTAGGTTGTTATTTTTTTTATAAAAAGCAATATTTACTGGTAAACCATCAGTCTATACCTGCTGCTTGTACTGAGCATGCAGGGAGAACATGGTCTTTTTATAATGTTAAATAACAAAAAGGTTATAGGCACCTGGTGACATAATGTGTTAAGGGTAATGATAACAGCCGTTATTATCCTGACATGTTGTGATTTGTGGTCAGACAGGTTGCAAAGACTGTAAATTTATGCCTCACCTTTCCCATTTCTTTCCTAACATGGGTGGGGAGGGTTCAGCACAATGAAAGATTAGGAAGAGTGTGATTGAAAACAGTATCACAGCATGTTAATCCACTTCACTGCTGTTTCCTCTGGAGGACAACGTTCTTGGTAATTTTCTTCTCTTTCTCTCATTACAGCTGCCCCATGATGATTAAATATCTGGGTAGTGTAGCTTTGCAATATAATCTCCTAGGAGAATTCTTTTCATTTCAAGCCAGAATTTCTTAAACTAATTTCTTCAACTATGCATATATACATATGCATGGACAAACACACACATACCAATAACACCAAACCTCATCTGTCACTTTAGAGTGCTTTCTGATAGTGAAATAGTGATAAGTGTTAATCTCTTGTGACGGTTTAATCCTGGTGTGTTTCACCTTCTAACAATTACCAGTTTTGTAATTGTAATTCATATTTTCCTTGACAAATTAAATTTAGCTTTTAAATGTACTACAATATATGTTTGTGTGGATATGTGGTTCGTTACACAGTATGCAGATATTAAACAGGAATTTGTTTTGAAAGCATATAAAACTTAAACTGAAGCATTAACAGCATACGTATGCATATTTAGTCAGGGTTATATCCCATTTTTAAAAATGAAGCTTGCCCATCTAGATTAAATTATCTTGAACATTTGACCAGATTATATTTTCCTTCTACAACTTCTGTTCTAGTTTTTATATAGATTATAAATTATATAATAAATTGTTCATATTTTTAAAATAGCAAGTGGAAAATAGCAAGCAGTTAAGACAGAGTGAATTGATTTTAAATCCACTCTTTCTCAGCTGCTGCGTGATTTCTGCTTAATTGTTGATTTATCAGAATTGGAAGCTATTGACAATAGCTGTTTTGTCTTGTCTGAGGTTTGTCATATATATGTTAATATTGGCAAACAATATTAACCTGGTTTTCACAAAGATTAAAGAACACTGAAAAAGCAATCCTTTTCAGAAATACAAACCATAAAACTTGGGTTTACGTAAATCAGGCTATCAGTTATTAATTATCTAATTAATAGTCTGCCTTATTGGGGAGATGGATAGCAAATAAATTAGGTAGGTGGATGGCAGCTCTACTACCCAAACTACAAAAGATATCTTTCTATAAGGTCTCCCCTCCCTCATGGTGAACGTGCAGATTCCAGTCATGAATTACACATACATCTAATTTTAAACTGTGGCAGAAACCTTTGACAGCTCTATTTTGGAGCCTTTCTTCTCCAAGTAGAATTTAAACAATTTTAAAGAAAATAAAAGAAATATAACACTTCAACAGTTCATTTCAGAGGCCAGCTCAGAAGAAACCATTACAAATGAAGAATCCAACGTCCCATTGATTGAAAGAGATCAGATCGTTAGATGAGATTATTCAGAATCACCAGTCATATTATGTTTATATATTGAATAGATCTATGATCTGAACACATATCCCTGTTATCCATCCTTCCTTTAGCCCTCCTCTTTCTCATCCCGGAATAGTAGTATAGATGGAAAACAGTGGAAAGGTTGATGGTTTGTTCTACAAAACACAAAGATTGGGATAGCATTTTTCTCATCATTTTGACAATCTCAGAGGCATATCCTGAAATAATGTCATATGGTGCATTTTTTTCAGAATTGGTTCTGCTTTAGCTCAGCTCTATGGGACATCTGCTACTCTGGAGCATCACCATTTCAACCATGCTGTAATGATTCTTCAGAGTGAGGTACAAAAACCATGTATTACCCATTCTCTTCTTCTTTTCTAAAAATAACTCTCAAAAGCTGCTTTATTTTAGCAGATCTAAAAAAAGTATTTTCTCTGCCAGGGCATAGAAAACAGATTCTGGATTCCATATATGGCACTGAGTTTAACGATACGACTTATGTAATATTTACTCTCAAAGCAAAATATTTCCAAAAAGCAAAAACAGTTTTGTATATTTTAATTGTAAGCTGCTCAGTGTCGCTTTGCAGAATCAGATAGGTGGCATAATAGATAGATAGATAGATAGATAGATAGATAGATAGATAGATAGATAGA